TTTTTTTCAATAAAACTAGGGTCTCCTTAACGAGGTGTGCAGTTTACACTTAATGCAGGAGGTTATCACTATCATCAATAGTGATCATTGTAATCTTCATCATCATTTCATCTCCATTTCATAATATTTCTTTTTTTTGTATATAGTACAGTTCGTATAAAATAACAAGCATAACATGATAACGATTTAATTGTACCATTAAAATTACAATAACAACATTAAACTTAAAAATTCATATCATAAACAAGTTTTTTTTTTTAATTTTATTTATTATTTAGTTTATATATATATATTTTTTTTTAACTTTCAACTCAAGTCGTTTTTATATTTTTTTTTCTTATATTCATTTTGGCATTATAATAGTACACATGTCAGATTTGCCTAGCACCCAGTGCTCTCGCTGGGATCCCATTCATCTCTGCTTAATAATGTATCGCCAACAGGTCTACATCAATTATTAACAAACACCCCATTTTACAATTCACTTTTTTTTCTATATCAATGATCAAGTTGCTCCTTCTTTTACTCAATTTTTTTTTTTTCATAAAATGGTCTACAATAAGAAGGTAATAATGAATCAATAAATTATAATGAGGTAATGTCAAATATATTATATCATTTATATTATGTATTTCTTCTCGTTCAACCTCTAGCGACATATATATCTGTAGACATATACACATATATTTAACGGCGTAGATATGTGTGTATATTTATATACATATACAATTGTAATATCAATTATCCTGCAATACATAATGATACTGGTTCCAACTATAACGTGTATGAAGAGTCCGATGGGTTAGGGCACGACGAACCTCAGATTATCCAGATTACATAGCACAAGAAAGGTTCATTAAATTATATTACATAGTAATAGGAACGCTCACTTGCACGGAGAATGGCGTGCAAGTGTGCGCTCAGCACCAGGACTAGGGCGGGCAGGAAGGACACTGAGGACTACACTACGTCAAACCACATACTAACGAAAACTCGATTGTATGCAGTATAAGAACGAATTCTCTTTAGCTGGTCTTTGGGGAAAACTATAGATCATTGAATGACTAGATACCTGCCCGGCCCGAGGCCCAATCGGTGGTCGGTATAGTTTTCATTTTAGTTTTATGGAATAGTTACATAGTTGGCTAATAAAACGAAATCTATTCTCGAAGTACAATAATATATACAGACAAACATATCCACATAATATATATATATACATATATATATATGTATATATATATGTACATATATATGTATATATATATATACATAAATATATATATATATATCATATATGCAATTGGTCAGCCGAGGGCTAGACTGTACCGACCACTGAGCCTATGGATCCGATACGGAGTAGTGTATAAATGTGTGCGCGAGGCCAACAGGAAGTCGCAAGGCACGGCCGGGAAGAAGGAACATGAATTGACAAATAACAAGAACAACATAAAAACGAAAATACTGAACGTGGCATTAAGTACACCGGGGCCGCTTTCTTCCAAGATTCTGTGATCTATTTCCGCTTCTAACTACTGACAGAGACAAACAAACATGAATGACATGAAGAGACAGACAAACAAGTAAACAATTAATATACCGCGACTTGCCACCTCCAGTTCGCCAAAATACACAGCTTACTATCTACGTACGTTATTTAGTTATCTCTTAATCAATTATTTATATATCATCATCATCATCATCTTCCACCTCATTATTATATTAAATCTTAATTTGTTTGGTTTGTCTTCTCGTAATTCCTCAAAGTATACATGTATTAATAAAGTATAAAATAAATATATTCTCTGAGGCGAGACAACATCATTTGATTATTATTATATTAATGTCCAAACTAGTTGTTCAAATATATATATATAAATAGCTTTTTTGTTCACTTGATTATTTTGTCGTACTCCATTTTTCTTCGTTTAAATAGATAATATAATCTTGTTTTCTTTCGCTAAATTATCGCTAAGTCGGAATTTTCGACTTAGGTTACAACAGGATAAGGACGAGCAAGGGCGGCGGTCGGTGTGTCCCGTCATCCCAAATGAACAGTGAGTTTAAGAGGACGGTTCATAATCGTTTTATGGACACGTTCTTAGACAACGGTATACAAGTGAGATTTATCTTATTGCGTACGGCGTGTCCACTGAGCCCCGCGCCACAACTGCCGCCCCTGCCCCATACATTTGGTAGGGCACACAACATGTGATAATCACTCTACAAAAATCTTATCCTTACATTAATGTTAGACTTAATGTAGCGAGCTTCCGCTGTCGAATGCGAGTTCAAAACGAACATACGACATCTGAAGCACGCGTGGACGAGGAGGGATGCCGACCTGGAGCTGAATCCGCAACCCTTCGGATGTCGGTTGCAGCACTGCATCCTCTGAGAAAGTGACCGCAACCGGTGGAAGACAGCCGAACCGCGGCGATGGTGCACGTAAACCACATTTGATTCAGATCGCCGCGGATGTCTGCTCTCACCGGAGTGCACTGCGGCCATCCATACCCATCCAGTCCCATCATACCAAGGTTTCAAGAATGAATTATTTCCTCTTAGGATGCGGTGCCAATTGCCGATACTTGTCCGGAGGGTCGACGAGTAAAAAAAAAGCAAACGGATGCTACCGTCCTCGTCCTGGCGTGGGGACACGAAATATCCCCAACTAGGCACCTAATTAAACGCTATGGGCAAACTTACGATCGCCCATTTATTGCTAAATCATGTTTAGTTCAAGTCGCCATGTTTATTGGCAATGCTTCTACACTATTTCACCGTATAGTAATGTATATATATATATATATAGTTTATGTATGTATATATATATATATCCACTGGAATAACAATTAAATTAACGAACAATGCGCATGATTACGGATGCATATGAGGCATATTTATAATAATAGTAATCATAATAATAATTCATATACCATAATTTCTATTTGTTTTACTTGAATTTGATGTATATGTTAATATTTGATGGCAGTTGCGTGACTGCCGAGCCGATTGGTACACTCTCGCTGCTAGGGTAGGTTAGGGATACGGGTGGTGCTATTGTAGTAGTAGTTGTTGTTGTTGTATTGTTGTAACAGTTGTTGTTGTTGTTGCTGATGTTGTTGTTGTTGTTGCTGTTGCATTTGGTCAGAGGTGTGGTTGGGACGGGAGCGCGATTATGGGATCTAAACGGCCGTCTCCGTATGGCTGTGAGACGATAATCGTTCCACATCGATTTCAGGAATCGTCAGCTCGTCTGGGATGTTATCGGCATACTCAATGGAAGAAGTTTGCGACAACCTCTTTGAGAGTGATGTCTGTTTGCGGAGTACCTCGGCTAGGGAAGTATTGCTGTGTTCGCCGTACCGAGCATCTAGGCCCTGACGGAAAGCATTAACTACTCGGATCTGAAATGAACAAGAAACAACAAAATGGGGAAAATTAAAATAAGAACATTCCCAGGAGGTGTGTGACGAGCATATAGCACAGCCGAAAGAACAGTACAGAGCATTGTAGATGTAGATGCAATGCAGCCCGGCCGCGTGGTTCTCCTCTCCTCGTGCATGCATTACTATTGCCATTAAACAGACCAGCATCCAAACGCAATCCATACACAGAGATAAAGAAGGAACGATTAAGTAAACAATATTAAAAAAAAATAACAACAAAAGATAAAAGACAACAGAAAAATAAAACAATATATATAGCAGCAATCAAGTGCAATCAAGTTCCAGAAGCCGCTCGGGCATTGGCCTTCAAGAACAATACGACATACAGTAAATAGAGCAAGCAAGTTAATCTCCTTTATCTGCGAACGCAAATGCAGTAGCAATAAGAGAACCGCGCGGCCAAAGCTCAGTAGAAGAAAAATCAAAAGAAGAAGAGAAAAAACAAACAAAATTTTAATTCCATGTACATATATATATATTTATTTGTATAAATATATATATATATAAACAGTAAAAGAAAACATGCAAATTGATATAAATAAATAGTATATGTATATATATACACAAAGAAAATGTGCAGTCATATTGACATTTTTCACTGCCAGAGCAAAATGTATTTGTGTAGAGCCACCGTACATGCCATGTACTGGATTTTCCGAGGCAGATCTAAGCTTTACAGTTAATAATCCATAATCATTAAAAAATGTAAATATATATATATAATATTGAAAAAGAAGCCGAATGAAGGAAACCAATAATGATAATAATTTGATATAAAGAACGATGGATAATAGACATTTTAATGAATTATGTTGACGTGGAAGGGAATGAATGACATGCTGCATGACAATACATTAGGTCACACCATTGCGTGGTGAGCGCTTCGAATAGGCGATAAACCAAAATTGATAAAAAAAAAATAAAATACAGAAATTATAGATGAAAATCAAATAAATTATAGAATTGAAATAAAGAGAGAAAAAAAAAACATTGAGCTTGCATAAGTTTGTATACAGATCAACAACACTTGAGAATTGATTGAGCACCACTTAAAACATACACGAATAACAAATATTCAAATACATACAGTTTTTACCAGATACTGGTTATTTTGCTTACGTGATTTTGCCCCACCTGTATGTATGTATACGTGGGTATTAGTAGTATAAACACATATAAAGAAACAAACGAAAAGCTAGTTTTAAAACGTATTAATTGTGAGAAAAACAAAATATAAATTTAAAAAAAAAACAACAACAACATAAGGAAAATAATACAAATTCAAAGATACACATAGAAAGTATTAATTAATATCTAGTTAGACGAAAACCAAATCACTTAATTAATTAAAAACAAATTATAGTATAATAATAAATAGGCATATAAAACATATGTAAACAAATATTCAATTAAAAAAAAATGCAACCACCTAGCAGAACAAACTAAAAAAAAATCGTTTAAAATTATATTAAAGTTCATAATATATATGTATATATGGAAACAAAAAAAAACCGCAGCTGTTAGTACGTTAAACCAGTGATTCTCAAACTTTTGGACATAAACAGTTTCTGCCACCCCTCGAAGTGTATGTATGTGTAGAAAAACAACCAGAATAGACCAGTGATTCTCAAACTTTTGGCACGACCCCTGAAGAATGGGTATTGTAGAAAAACAACCAGAATTGATCTGTCATTATTTTTGCGACCCCAATTTGAGAATCACTGATTAAGATAATTTATTTGTGTATATAATTTTTTTTGCGACCCCCCAAATACATTTTGAGAATCACTGCAATAAAATTATTAATAATTTATTTAATTATAACAAAAAAAAAAACTATTTTTCTTTTAATCTCATATAAATATATATCATCTTAAATTTGCAATGTTAACGAAGCCTCTACTAAATATTTAAAAAAAAATTCAATAAACTATTCAAATTCAGAAAGAAACAATTTAGAATAAAAAGCAAATATAGTAAGATATATTATTAAAAAAGAAAGAAAAGCGATTCAGGCATTGATCATTGTGGGCATTCGAGTATATAAATAATAAATATTGTATAAAGAAAACTAAAATTTACAATATTTAGAATCAACAAAAATAGGGAGGAAAGTTCAATGTAAGAGATAGAAAATTCAACAGAAAAAAACAATATATATATAACAAAACTGAAACCCTGACGCTAAAATTATCTTCACACTTTACCATCCTGTGTTCCGGATTCGAGTGTGGACCGAGAGAATGTCTCAAGTCTTGTATTTATTGTCTGTCTTTTGTTAAGTTGAAATGATATGGAAGGAATAACAACAAATGATTTTCTTATTGTATATATATATGTACATATACATCTACTTTTTGTTCGATTTCCAAAAAAATGAAAATAAAATAATCAGTGGCGTAACTTCAAATTTTGTCCCCATAAAATAGATTTAAAATTCTTCTATTGGATTCGCAATTTTTCTAATCACATCTAAATATGTTTTATTATTTTGGACATTTCAGTCGAAAAAACAATAACTGTTGTAAATTGCGATTGATACAAATTTCATTTCCATTGCAGCGCGTTTCTGTTCATAATAAAATACTGTGGAACCTCGCTTAATGAGCAAAATGAATAACTTGCTTAATGAGCGATGTTTCGCATAACGAGTGACGATGAGAAGAGAAGTCCCTGCTAATGTGTATTTTTGAATGTTTCACTAGACGAGTATTTCACTAAACGAGTATAAATCCGGAAATCGTTAAGCGAGGTTCTACTGTACATAAATATGTACGCGATTTTCTTGTCGTGAGCCCTAAACACCAATTTTAATTTGGAGGACTTAGGTAAATTTGCATTGTAGTTACGCCACTAAAAATAATATGATTTTTTTTGCACAGCTATAACGAATTTCATGTGATGCAACGTTTAAATGAAATCAAAATAACTTTCGCGAAAATTTAAATACTTGAATTAACAAAAAAAAAAAACAAATGAGTTTTAAGCAATAAGGAACATAAGACATGTAATGTGTAAAGAATTATATTCATCTTTTTTTTGGCCGAGCAAACGTTTAGAGCGATCATATGCATCTGTGATAAACTACGTGTGTGTTCCAGTGGCGTCACATCTTAAAAACTTAACATAATTCACAACCGACACTCGTTTCCTTTCTTAATCAGAAACTAAGTTTATCGTAAATATAATACTGACTGTAACATCAAACTATTTTAAGTACTTTATATGTGAATAATACAACCGGAGGTTTCATGTGATGCTTGCAATTAAAACAAAACATAGTATGATGTTGAAGTGATTTGCAATTATATTAATCGTTCGGGTGACACCACTGCGTCGATATGCGCTTTACAAAGATAATTAAAGTAAAGAAATGTAAAATGTGTAATAGAAGTAGATCTTAGGGTTAAAACTGAAATGTAAGAAGGAAAAGAAAAAGACATGCATGAAGGGAACAGAAAGAAAGGGCATGCGTAGATCCTAGTTTCTGTATTCCCTTGAGAAGTTAGATAAAATCAAAATCTAAGAAAACCAACAGAACAAACGGTTAGGTAAAAGAAAACGATAAATGGCTAAATTTGTTTGTTAGATGCCACACTTATTAAGCAGTGCTTATTTTTTCATTATATTGATTCAATTGATATATATAAATTAATTTTTTTTTTTAAAGAAAAATCATTAACAATTTTTTTTTCTGCAGCGTTAGCCAAACAAACAAACAAGATCGAACGAGCGGCATTCTAAATATAAATACGTAGCGGAAAGAAAGATGTAGGAAAGCGGCTTACAGCTTGGTCAGTGGAGCTCTTGCTGTACGGAACCGGAATCAAACGCTCTTGCAATTCACCACCTATCACCTTCAAGAGTAAAGGGCAACGTTAAAGAGTGGTTCGATAGACAGTGACAGACAGATACAATAGAATAGTGCACAGAATGAGATAGATTAATAGACTACTAAATACACCTGAGAAGAGTGAGGTGACGGCGGATCGCGTCCGTGGCCGCGACTCGCCGCATCCACCAGCGACCGAACTCAGATAGACAACACCAAAATAAACATTCATGAACTTAATTAATAATCTACATAAAGGAGAGTAAAACTATAAAGTAAAAGAATAAAATAATAAATGAAAACAACGACATCGAAACATAAGTAGGTAAATAGATATAGAAACAAAGGTATGTATACAAAACAGAGTTTGTTAGAGTAGGAAGTGTTCGCTCGCTGGTGCCGGTAAAAAGAAATCATAATAAGAAAGTTGCAAAGTGTTACAACCTACAGACACACGATTGCTCGAAACGTGTATCCAACGGATCACAAATTAGCTTCGTTTTTTTTTAAATTTTGTTTTGTTATTGTTGTTTCAGATGTTGTATCATAACAAAACTGTCTAATTGAAACAGCCCACGTATTAATGACCAAAGTGCCAACGTGTGAAAACCAATAAATAAACAATCGTTTTAAGTACATATCAATCTCTCACTTAACTTGTTATTACACCTCAACAATAATTCACATATATATCTATATGTGTGTAAAAGTGCGATTTTCGGATTTCATTTATTGATCATAACGGGATTATTTTTCATGTAACTTGACGCTGGCCATACCACATAATACAAGTTGACTCTCAGTTTTCAGTGTGCGAACGCAATCAGAAAGTTTATTGAAAAAAGATATGAAATTATATTAAAATGAAAAATTAATTCAGATAGAATAAAAAAAAATCAGCAGTTTTAAATAAAATAGAAGTAATAATATTAATTAATATTAACATTAAACAACGGAATAATAATAGTAATAACGAAATAAACAAATAATATATATATATATATATATTATATTATTATTATTATATATATATATATATCATTTACTATACATAACCACTAACCTGAGAGGTCTAAGGCATCTAAAAAAAATGTTATACATTCATCTAATCTACAAGTGAATTATGTACAAAAATAATACAAATACTCATTGATTTTGGTCACAGAAACAAACAGTAATTTTTCAGTTAATAAAAATAATTATTTTTTGTTGTTGCTTTTGTTGTTCCAAGGATTCTACTAGGTGCTAAGCTACTATATGTATATATAATATAAAAAAATATATTGGTTTTCGGAAACGTTCCTGGTGGACAGAGGTGGCGTCCGCGCGCAACGCCTAAGTGCTTCTAATGCAATAAATTAAATTTGTTTGTAGCGGAACCACCTCCAGTCGGAACGTTTATGCGATCTTCGGGCCAGGGAAGAGGGTTAATAACTTAATGTCCACCTTTTCTTTTTCTTTTTCCTCCTCTATTGTCATTACGTTACGTTATTTTCTTCCTTTTTTTTTTGTTTTCTTTTTATTCGTTTCAAGATAGAAATGGGAGAGGGCGGAACAATGAATTATGTAAAAAATAATAATAGTAAACAAACTCAAGAAGGGAATAAAGTTATAACACAAAAAAAATAATAATAGTAATAACAACAAAATAAAAACAAACTGAAAATATTAGTGAGGCACCGAAGGGGTGGCGCAAGGAAAGAAATTGTAAATTCGAGAAATAATATTAATAATAATAATCATAAACAGAGGGCTGATATACAGCGATTGAACGGCTTTGTTTTGCGATGAGCATCATGCAATGCTCGTGGCTTCGGAGGAAAGGTTGTCTCTACTGTAGTAGTTGTTGTTTTTTTTTTGTGGGGGGGGTGGGGTTGTTGGTCGGTGCATTTTGGCTTCAGCGTCACCGGATTCAGCGGCGGCGGCGGCGATTGAGATTGAGGCTTAGACTGTGGCTCTAAATCGGGGTTTCATGCACGGGCTTTGGCGGCTCGGAATTCGAGTTGGCGGGCGATGACGGTTGTGCGTAATGCGGAATGTGGGTCGGTATTTTTAGGGTATTGGGAGACAGCAACCGGTGACGGGCAGCGTGGTGTTCGTCGCGCTCGTTCTTGGGCGGCATCGGTGACAGCTTGGTGGCGGTTGGATCCTCGTCAATGTAGGTGATGTCTGAAAGGGGTCGCGGCGGCCATGGGCCGGTGTGGCTGCGCGAACTGCGTAAACTGTGTAAACTATGTACCGATCGCCGCTCCTCCAGGTCCTCCAGGGTCGACTTGAAAGCTCTGATTACTCGCAGCTGCAAACACAGGGAAGCAGGGTATTCATAAGGCCGGGAATCGCATGCACACACGTTCCATGCTCACGCTCACACGCTCAGAAAATATAACAAAACAAAAAAGAACAAACAGTAATCACCAAAAATTAAACAAACCAAAAACTATCTTCATTTCATTTAGAAATTAAATCGAGTGGTTATGAACAGATCATTGGATCAGCTTATTACTTAAAATAACAAGAATTCATCCTCGAACCATTGGTTAGTATTCATTAGTACACTAATTCTATTAAGCTTTTCATATCAAATATTTAGTCATTATAATTCGCTGCCATGCACGGTGCGTCTGTCCAACTTCATTAAAAAAAAAGAAAGAAATCAACATTGACATTTGTCTCGTCAATCGTTTAATATTCATATAACTCAAAATTTTAATTAAATCATTAAGTCAAGTGTATTTTTCTCCACCCGCTTTATAAAAATAATAAATTCACTAAAGAAACGACTTTAATAATTTTAAAGATATATTAGTTGAAATATTTTAGCTTCCATCGAAAATAACCTTGAGAATAATGAGTAATAGTCTTCCAGTGACCTGTTCTTAACATTAATCAAAGCAACATAAGACTCAACATATAATCATCGCATGTAATCACCGCAGCACGCGCCAACGGACAACACATTCCGGACTTCCGTTCCTTTGACAATTCTTTCCATTTCAGCACATTGGTGATAGTTTAACACACTTGTTTAACAAAAAAATATTATTTAAAATTAATTCTAATAAGAGTCAATAATAGAAATACTAAATTACTAATAATAAAATGTAACAATAGATATAGTAGAGAGCGACAGAGAAAAAGAGAAGTGTTTTAAAAGTAAAAATTCGTTATTAATAGAAGATAGATTAAACTAAAGAATTAAAGAAAAATATGTATACACATATAACTAAAAAAAAAATATAATTTGTAAGAGAGTGGTAAATATTGTGTACCGACACCGACAGATCGCCTTTACAGCCCCCCGTGAATAAATTAGAAATAATTGCAACCAACAAAGAAGGAATCGAAGCATATAAGTAAACATTTTCCAGTTATTTAGAATTAGAGAGAAAGAAGCAAGCATCAATAGCAATGAGAGAATTCGCCAGCATTCCCCCCACCCCTTCAGCCAATATTATTTTATATATATATATATAAATATATTTATATATTTATATATGTATATATATATATATTGTATTAGTTGGCATAACTAACCTAACTTAGTTAGGAGTATCAGTACTTCAGTTAATGGCCTCTTCCACTTGGCTGTGTTGTCGCGGAGAACACGAGTTATTTCCAATTGTATATATATATTATATATATATATATATTGCCCTTATTATATAATATTAAATATTTCTAACAAAACGTCTAAACATTCCGCTACCGACGAACTACGAGCTACTGGGGAGATATAATGTATATATTATTACGACATCCATTGAGGTGAGGTGGCTCTAAAACAGCTAACACCACAGTGCAACACAGCAGTAACGCATCGCAGTCATTGCATAAGCTAATGCCTACTACCAAGCTACGTACTTGTTTGTACTGCAACAGGATTTGCTTGAGACACCCACAGCGTTCCTATACCTCAGTTTCTCTCATGGGTTCCGCCGGCTAATAAATAAATAAAATTAAGTACCTATTAAGGATCATTAAAGTGAGAGTCTAGCAAAAGCTCGGTTCGACAGTGTATCCCCTGAATCAACAGGTATATCTTTTGATCGTGGTGGTGGTGGAGTTGTTGTTGTTGGTGGTGGTGGTTTATGTAGAAGTAGTAGTTGATATTGTATAGTAGTAGAGTAGCACATCGATAGTATTATGATTATTCTTCATTTATTTGGAAAGGGTTTTCAACTTGTTATTAATTTTTTTTTTAATTAACTGTTTCCGATATTAAGTTTTTACTCAGAGCAGTCCAACATTCGCAATTTTGCAACATCGACAACAACACCTAAATTTGGAGTTAGGAAGGGCAGTCGTGTATCAGACAGAAATTGAAATATACTAAAGAGTTGGAGAGAAATTAATCGGATCGGAGAAAATCTGATCGGAAATTCGGCATAGGAATAGATGTAAAAGAAAGAAAGAAATTGAGAGATTGATAGAGACAGAGAGAGAGAGTTCACGTTCCGTGTATGTGGGTGTAGTGCAACCTCTGAGACAACACAGCCAACTCGGGGCTCGGGCACGGAGCGGGCGGACGGACGGACGCACATGCAATAAAGTAATATATATATAAATATATATATATATACATAATATAGAATAAATTCTATCCCCTACAAATATTTACCAGAACGGCGCAAAAGAACGCTATAACTAACTACGTGTACCGCGAAAAGCTATCTTCTAAGTGTACTACGCTTATGCATGGCAGTGAAGAAGTGAATATATATATATTTAATACATGAAGTAGTAAAGCATGCCACAGAAGTTCATCATCTCAAAAATATAGTGTACAAAAAACTTATTTTTCAGATACACAAGTATAAAAAAAAGGAGAAAAATGATATTAGAACAGATAAATATATTACATCGAGATGTCGACGCGTCTGCAACATGTAGCCGACGCGACGACAATCTTGCAGCGAAGTATTTCTTACTCAAAAAAAAAACAAACAAACAAACAAACAAACAAAGATTTAAATTAAAAACAGAAGTCAAAGCAAATGTAACTTTAAAATATCACCAACTCGTTTGTCAAACAACGCAGGACGGTGTATATCCTCTGTTGGCTATAGTTTAATCACATTAGAACAAAAAAAAAATCAAAATCAAAACGACAACGAAAAAACATTAAACAGCTTTCGCGAATTATTTTCATTTTTAATTATTATTAATTATTTTTTTTCTGTTTCAGTCAGCATTTGCAAGACAAAAATGTTGTTTGAGATATGTCCTAGTTCGGAAATTATAACGTAAAACGAAACAAAAAAAAAATCAAAATCGATATATTATTTCTATACTACAGGGAACACTGACAACTAAAGCAGGTACTGGGGGTTCTTCAGTAACGGAAACCCAATGAACATCTTTATTGATTTTGCACACAGTCAGATGTCAATGCACCATGCTTTGTAGTTATTATTAATCTTTGCGTTTAATTAGACCAACATGACAACATGGGTAATGTGAGGGTGTTTAATACGTTCGTTAATTTTAATATCTAAATATTTGGGATAGTTATTGTTTCACACACATATAACAACAGTTGTTAGTAACGGGGATCCAGGGAAAAGTTGGTGTGGGTGGTGGGAGATGATTTTAACCTAATACAAATATTTGACCACGACCACGGTCATGGCCAAAGCGGAAAGGACACCTAAAATTCTTGTAAACTGAGAAATACCTCGTTTCATATTACTGAGTTCTGTTCATCAATCACTCATAAACATATTATACAAATATTATCTACCTCAGCCTTATAAGTGTGCGGCACAAATGGTCTCGCGATCAGACCTATTCATCCTATTTTATTATATCTTTTTTATTTTGTTTTCATTTCTTATCATTTAATAAATGAATTTTCTTATTTATATCTTTTTGTCTTATATATTTTAAGTATCTGAGTTTCGCACGCATTGCTGTGGCGCAATGCATACACTACAAGCACTTACCTGCGTTTGCAATCTAGTGAGACCCCTGATCCATAAGATTTGTCCGGCTCTCGGCTTCTTATCGGAGTCTACGTCGAACTTCTCCTCGCCAATCGTTATAGACTCGGTGTACTCTTCTGGGTGACCCCTACCCCATCTATAATCGATAAATGAACAGTTGCATAACTCAATCAGAATAGTGTTAGAGTGGATGTGGAAGGTGGATAAATAAATAGTTAAAATAAATGACATACGAAAGAATCTTTGGTATCTTCCTGGTGGGTACAGTAGTTACTAATTGGCCCCATAATAATGTTCCCACGCCAAAGAACAGACACCACAACCACTGCTCCAGAGTGAGACTCTTGGTGGAGAAGGCCATTTTACCATACTGGATGATGAGTACCTGCAAAGGAGAAGCGTTATAACATTTGGGTAAAACAAACCGTCGGGGAATGGCGAACCTGGGATGCGCAAGTGCCGATCCAAATACTATAGAAAATCGGATTTGTGAAGATACCCTGAAATACGTTTCTTTGACCATGAATCTTTCTGGCGTTGAACTCATTGAACAATGTCATCATGACGAAGGAATTAAATATCACCGTGAAGTGTTGCGTGGGGCCTGAGCCGAATTCCGCTCCCCTACCCGATTCAATATCCAACAACTTATCACCTGAAATGAAGTAAATCGATACAGGATTATCGGATTTGACTATCTCATATGTTCGTAAACTGTATGCCAGAACTGTGTGCCACTCACCTACAAACAGTAACGAAAATATAACAGTTAACTGATAAATGGCCTGGCCAAGAATGTTCTTCATCATAGTCCGTGAAATAAGAGGTTTTGTCCTGCCGTAGGGTTTCCTAAGCAACAGATCGGACGTGGGCAGTTCAGTGGCCAAAGCTAATGAGGCTAGAGTGTCCATAATCAAATTCACCCACAGCATTTGCACAGCCTGAAATCGAAGGACGGTATTAAAATGTGTTTGATTTTGTAGGTCAGTGCAAGTCGTACCTTTAAAGGACTGTCTTGAACAGCGCAGGCACCAATGAAAGCTACAATAACAGCTACAACATTTACAGTAAGTTGAAACTGCAAAAATTTAGCTATACTATCATAAACGTTTCGACCCCACATAACGGCCTTAACAATACTACTGAAATTATCATCGGTTAAAATAATATCGGAAGCTTCTTTCGCCACGTCCGTTCCGGCAATACCCTACAAATTGTTATGTTTAAATGATATGCATACAATAAATTGTGTGAAAATAACTTACCATAGCAAAGCCGACGTCGGCCTTTTTGAGAGCCGGTCCATCATTGGTGCCGTCGCCGGTGACGGCAACAACTTCTCTGTTTTCGCTTACTTTACTATCAATAATTCCCTTGACAAGTGTGTACTTATCCGTGGGCGACGATCTGGCGAGGACGCGTAATTTAGGCCAAACTTTATCAAGCAGATGCTGTTGAACCTCGCCGGTGCTGTCCCTGATTCGTCTGTTAAATTCCTTGCCCTCGAGTATGAGGAAGTCGTCGGTAGGTTTGATGATACCGCACTTGGTGGCAATCGATCTGGCCGTATTGATGTTGTCTCCAGTTACCATACGCACAGTGATGCCAGCCTTCTGGCACTTCCTGATGGCTTCCGGTACTTCAGGACGCACGGGATCTTCGATGCCAACCACGCACAGGCATGTCAAGTTGTTTACGATGTTTTCCTCGTCCTCCCAGTTTGGCTCGTTATCTATGTGGACCTGATTGATATCGGCCTTACCTGGCACGAAGTCACGGTAAGCGATCGAAATGGTACGCAAGCCGTCGCATGCCATCGGTTCGATGACCTGCCTCAGCAACCTCTCTTGCATATCCCTGGTGAATTTTTCCAAACGGCCGTCATGACCATATATGAAGGCACACCTGAAAGTTCCAAAGTTCGTTACAATTCTTCCGCTCGGAGCTCGCAGTAATCGTAACGTACTTGTTTAATATAATTTCAGAAGCACCCTTGGTGAACAACCGGTATCCGCCGCCTTGGCGTGGTATAATTGTGCTCATCGATTTCCTTACAGAGTTGAACGTGTAAACACGCGTAAATGTTTCCTCCGGTTGGTCGTCCCTGAGGGTTTGATAGTTCTTCTGCATACCCATAACAAACCCTAAAAGCGAGCACTCGGTTTTGTTACCCACTTGCTTCGGAAGCTCTCCTGGCTCTTCCGCTGGCTGAAAACATAAAACTCTATCATACCGATTCGGTAGGTTTGACAGAAGGTACACGCAAGTTATACGAGGCACCCGCTCTTTACCATTATCCTCGAGGTGTATGCAGAGTTCACCGCGATGCCTTGAATAATCAAGTTGCCGACTTCGGCAGGGATGTCTGCGAATTTTGGCATTGTCTTGCACAGCTGCTCGCAAATGTACGACTGCACCACCGTCATTCTGTTCGTCGTCAGGGTGCCAGTCTTGTCTGAGCAAATGGCAGTCGCGTTGCCCATTGTTTCACACGCATCTAAATGCCGCACTAAGTTGTTGTCTTTCATCATTTTCTGTAAAGCATTCAATGTTTAATCTCAGTATTATCCAGAGACAGATGTCGCCGATCGCCTTCTTTCCCTTCGTATCTTAATTACCTTCACACTGTAAGCTAAAGACAAGGTGACGGCGAGAGGCAAACCTTCCGGCACTGCGACCACCAAGACGGTCACACCGATGATCAGATGACGCACTAAATTGTTGGCGTAGGAGTTCTTCCATTCCTTCTCGTCAATTACAAATGTCTTAACGCAGAACTGGATGATCAAAATGACAACCGTGAGCACGGCAATGGTGGAGCCGGCGTAACCGATCTGTATGGCTAGCTTGGTCAATTTGGCCTGCAGAACGGACTTCTCCTTCTTGTGGCTGTCGGCGCTGTTGTTTCCTGAAGCCACATGATTACCCTGGCCGTCATCGCCGTCCGAGTTCCCGTGTTTATTCGAAACAGGTGCGGGCGAATTCATGTGGCTATTGCCTGTCACGGCAGACTCTTCATCACCTAAGGATCATTCACAAAACGAACTTTTGTAAAAAAAAGAAACGACCAAACGGCGGAAAGCAATTTCGAAACAAAAGCAATTGAATCTTTTTAAATTAATACTTCTATATGCAATACATATGCATATATTACTGTACAATTAATGTATGCAGACATTGCTTTAACTTGCTTTATATAAAGAAAAAAATAATTAAACATTCACCTGTCAGGCTTTTCTTCTTCCGCTGCTTTTTAGCCTCTGTACAAAAACACATGCAAAAGGAGAAATATTAGCAATCTCAAAAATAAACACTCCCAAAGTCCTGGCATGGGTAAAAATTTCAAAAAGTGTGGGGCGTCATAATGTAAAAGTATTTATATATTATTATATATACGTATAAAAGGGTTCTATGGTGAAAACCATTTACTTATTATATAATTACAGGTGCTCTAATCTCAGCAGTGAATAAACAATAATAACATACATGCCGCTATAGTAAAGCGCGTTCGGTATTTTCCTATCCCTGAACTAATTACAAATAATTAGTTTCAATCGTAGAAATTAATTGAGAATAAACAGGAAATAAGCCAGCGTACGCGTCCTGATGAAATAATGAAAACAAGCGAATATTCAATTGCATCCATATTCATCAATGGATGCACTAATTCACGAATTATCAGTTTAGAATATCAATCCTGAAATTTCCACGAAACATGTTACGCAACTGCAATAATAGAATTTAATCAAAGCATAATTGCACACGATGATCTTTTACGAAATATATTTTTATTACGTGTTTTTTTTATGAATGTTATTCACTTGAATTATCCTTATCTGAGAACAATTCTAAAACACATAAAATATTTGTGTTACAACTTAGCACTTTATATATTTTTAATTTGATGTTCCGAGGAAAAAATCAAATTCATTGCAAGCAGTCAGAATATTTTCAGTAGAACCGCGAAAGTTTTATGTAACTGTTAATGTTCAAAATCAACTTAGACAATATAAGAATTTGTAATTTGTAACACATTAAAAAAATAGCTTTTTAGCAGGGACAAAGAAAATAACGATGTAAAAGAAGGAGGTTGACGCATTTTTATATATAAATACATCGAATTCTGTAAAGCTTCAAAGTGCAAGGGTCTAAAATAAGAAGCGCATTCCGATGGTCCAATGCGACTGAGAGAAGAAAAATAGATAAATGCGAAACTAAACGAAACAGTAAACAACGTGCCGACGACAAAGTTGGACGATGGATGAAAAGGAAACTTAATACTTCGAGACGTCTTGATCTTTTCCATTTTCCGATTTACTCGAGTCTAATAATTACGTCCGAAAAAATGTTTTATGCGGATAATTCCGGTTAAACAAACGTACGGAAAAAGAGAAAAATAAAAAAAAAGGTTAGCAAATAGAAAACGTTTGATTCGAGGAACTTCATTATTCATACAACAAACCCGTCGATATTGGCAATTCAATATATGTACAGAAGATTAACGCAGTTCACTAACCATTTATAAGGTGTTATAACTAATGATCAGCTTTCTATTTCTATTCTTTAAAATCATGTTTGTTTTTGTTTTTATTTTTCTTCATCACAACGTTGTTTATGCAATGTTTTTCTTTTCTCAGATAGAAAGTTTATGAAATATTTATATAACTGCACATAGCAATAAAGAGAGATGGTGGAAAATATGTGTAACATGTATGTAGAAAGCGGAGGAAACAGGGGACGCGTGTAACGAATTAATTGGAAGAGACCTGCTTTCGCACAAATAGAAATGGTTTCACCATAAAGCACTTATGTCCACCGAGCGCCAACTAAAAGAACATGTACAAAATTGGTAGCAAAATAATTTCAAATAAAATAAACAAAAATGTTGCGAATATACTGAATGAATAATAATAAAAAAAAAACGGGGGCAATAACAATGCACTAAACATCGATACATTTATAAACAATCTATCTAATATACATCAAAATCTGAAGATAAATTTCGTTCATATGTTTTGGGGTCATCGAAAGTACATAAATCAAACAAACCCATGCCACGAGAGTAAATCTGAATGTTACCTTTCTTCATCTTCTTGATCTCCTGTTCCTGCTCGTCGACGGCTGCACCAAGTAAAGTGAAGATGATACCAGCCTGAGAGTTGACACCGACGGCGGCGACGAGCATCTTTCCGGATCCTTCCATCACGTGTGTACCGGAAAGCACCATCGGGTCGAAGGACTCGCCTTTCTTCACGTGATCAGACTCACCGGTCAACGAGGATTCGTCAACCTTTATGCATGTAAATGAAAAAGAAGAAATAGGCGAACGCCAAAGCATCAGTAATGGCAGTAATAAAAACGTACAAAAAAACCGACGTCCAAAATGGCGTTGATTTTCTGCACCATGATATTCTTAGCTAACAATCCAACACGTAACAAATGTACAATTATAATTTTAGATTTATATTTTACTTGGTACAATCATCATTCGCACGCAACGGTTACAAGTAAAATCCTTTGTATATACAAAACAGTGCTTAATTGCCAAAACAATTTTATTTGCAGCGCGATATTCTACTACACATTGTATTTGCAAATACAGTGGAACATCGCATAACAAGCAAAATGAATTGTAAGAAAAATGACTCGCTTAACGAGCGACGTTTCGCATAACAATTATGTGTATTTTTGAATATGTTTTACAATCCGGAAATTAAACTCGTTAAGCGAGATTCTACTGTATTTATATATCGCGCTAGTTCCAATTTCGGCGAAACAATATTATCCCCCGAATGAATAGGGTCGATTAGAAAGTAGCGCGAAAACGAGAAGGGCGGAATCATATTGATCGACTCACATTCATGCTACCTCCATGGGAAAAAGCTACGACAACAAGGAGGGAAATTTAAATAAAATATATTGTTCGGAACCAAAAAACCAAGAATCTTCGATTCATTAATTGCTCAGATTTATTTGTATAAATTATTTTCGTTTTGACACGATTGTCTGGATTTAGTCCAAACGAATATAATTCACGTGAACTTTGGACGCTAACAATAAATACAATATAAGCTTGTTTCTCAAAAATCGTATGTTTTATATAATACATCCGAGACCACTAAACAGAGTTTCGGATGCGACCACTTTTAGGGCTGGGACAAGAGATGTTAATAGATTTGGCGAAATACTACTTGGTATTGATCCGGCCAAACATAAGGTTGAAGCAAAATAGTATCTCGCTGGAGTTGACCCAAATGAAAGGCATTTGCGCAAATGGGGAGCTAAATCAGAGCGAGGCAAAGAGAAGGGCGAGAGAGAAAAATGAAATTACAAAAGAAGCCAGGTAGTTGCTTTCCTTTGATTGTAAATGTTATATAAATGAACTAAACATAGGACATCAAAGACGAAATCGAACACCGCTTGAATGAAAATTTCAGAAAAATAAATTGGATTTCTGTGAATCAAACGAATATGAAGTAACTGATCGAAATTAGATTAGGAAAAAGACTAGTATTTGATATATATTATATTAAATTTTAATACGTAACATTTCAATGAAAAATCTGTAATTAGTTTAGAATATTTGCTGATTGTATTTAAAAAAAATATAACTATTTGAATTGAATGCATATTTGTTATTATATCAAGCAGAGCAACGATTTGAATAAATTGTTGTAGTTATAGAGAAACTGAAAAACGTTTGCAAATATTTAATGGGGATTGTGTTTTACTGCTTTCGTAAATAATAAACTGTTCGCACAGTACTAATTTTAATGATATTTAAGCCAATTTTGAAATAAACGATTATCGATTGCGGATTAAATTTATATCCAACAATAACACTGAAAATAAATTTGTATGTTTATACTAGATATGAGAGCTGATATTTATTTATTATTGGGATTACCGACCTTGGTTCTTTATTGTATTTAATAGGAGGCAAACCGTGTGTGGGAAGGATAAATTGGAAGGAAAGGTGCGTTGACCCGGGCCAAAATATCAATAGGTTGCGTGTTCGATTTCGTTTATTTCTAAAAATATTTCCACGCGAGGAGAGAGGAACGACGGGGGAACAAGAAGGGAAACTCATCAGAACCACACCCAAATCCATGGCTTCGAAAGAGCCAGTAGGAAGCAAGAGGACGAAGAGCGAGAAAGTGGAACTTCACTGCTTCTTTCTCCTCCCAGCATAAACATCTCTAAATCCGAAACGAAAAATAAACGAAACAAATAATAACAATAAACAGGCTGCAGCTAGCAAAGGTGTATACACACGCGATGCGAGAACGATGATGGAAGGAAATTGAATAGAAGACATTACTTATCCATGCTAAATACATATTAAGTACGGATAAAAGGGTCAAAATTGAAACGCGCAGTCGACAATTAACTCAGCCGATTGGATTTCGCGACGGATAAACGCAATTACACCAACTGAAAATAGCACCCCATACAAAATAATAATAGTATTAACAATAATAATAAAGATTGTAATGGCAATAAAGATGTGGTTCTGGCTTTTTCCTTTACAAGTTCCAAAAATCAGTCAATACTTGTAGCGGAAATGTCAAAAATCAACTTCTGCTTCCCCGAAGTGTACAGTAGTTAATTTTCTCGTTTTGTTTTTCTTGTTACAGAAATAGAGCGGGATATTTTTAGAATAAAATCTGGTTTCGGATGTTGGGATTTGAACGTGAAACAAAAAATTACTACCAAAGAAGTAGTGAAAAGAGAGTATGATATACTATGATATAAATCGTGTTACCTTCAAGTCGTTGGACTGGATGAGGATACCGTCGGCCGGCAGCAGGTCTCCATATTTGATTTGGCAGATGTCACCGACGACGATGTCGCTGACAGAGATCTGCTTGACTTCGCCTTGCCGAATGACGGAGAACCGGTGCTCGCCCTCGATTCGATTTTGCAGGCCACGGAACTGCCTCTCCTTGGTGTAGTCATTGAACGCGGTTACTAACACAACTACTATAACAGATATCAAAATGGCGAGCCCTTCGATCCAGCCGTGGCTAGTTTCGTCATCTTCGAAGCCTGAAACAGCAAACCAAGAAAATCAGAACATCGCTGTTCTTTAGGGCATAAGTGTTGCGAGGTACGGACCTTCGTCTTCGCTGGGCGGCTGGTAAAATGATAGTCCCAAAGATACGATGGCGGCCACTTCGAGGATGATAAGCGTAATATCCTGCAGTGCTTCCCATACTAATTGAAAAAAGGTTTTCGGCGGTTTCGGAGGAATCGAGTTTGATCCAAATGTTTCTCTCCTGTGTTCGGTGTCCACCTGTGATCCACTAAGTCCTATTATCCAACAAAGAGACAAAGAAATAAACATCAAACTAATGATATATTATATAAAACACACAGAAACACAAACAAATGGTGGTGGACTCATTTTTGAATAGCAGAAGTTGGTATAGTCAAACGAGTGAGAGAAGCTATCTGCGAAGGTACAATAGTTTCTGTTGAAACCCATATACCACAATTGGTTTACTTTCTCTACACACCACCTAACCTACCCCCTACCCCTATGTACGAGTGAGTGTATGTATATATGTTATGAGGTCGGAAGTGGTGCAATGCATGGCATAAGATAGATTAGATATAATCCATTATTTCCAGTTTCATTGACGGACTTCGAATTTAGGAAGCTATTAAAAACCTATGATTGCATCATCATGTGCGAAACGCGAATATACGACTGGTCTGCTCTCTGCTTGCTTACCTTCGCTTGGCGATGTATATAACTTCTTGCACAGCTCCTGTACTCCTCCGATTTCGTTCACCTTATTCACACCCTCAGGACCTCGGTGTTCCATGAGGTCGCGTAAATGCTTGAGGGTGATCCCATATTGTGCGGGCCGACCGTCTATCGTGGCCATCGTTCTTAGCTAGATCTACAAGCAAACAAAACAAAGAACAATGAGAACACGGCAATTAACATTGGGATTAGCTCAGAGACGCAGCGGGACATATTAGGCACAGGTCATCGCCAAAACCGGCGCAACGATGACGAAGCTATACATTTACGAATGACTGCATCTTTTTTTGCTTCTGCATCTGCTATTACTGCCATCGATAATCCGCGTGGCTGCTCTAGCTATATATTCAAGATTAATCAAACGATAACGGTATTTGCCGAAGAACGCGATGATATTAAATATTATTTGTTCTGCTTTCGAGCACTTCATATTGCATTTATATTTATTGCCGAGTTTTATCCTTATACACATATAAAATATTATATTTTTTTTTTTTTTTGGTTCATCATCAGAACGCACAAACATCTAAAATATGAATAATTGCACCAGAAACCTTGAGCTAAATATGCTTTAATTACATAATTCCATTAAATATCCTCAGAGCACATTACCACGAAACGAGTGGCGTGGAACAAAGAGAAAGTAACGGACGGATCTTCAACTATTTTATTTCCATTTCCTTCTAATATCTTTTGTAATATTATATTAATACGTAATGAATTTTGATAAATACTCAATTGTAATCAACCTATCTATCCGCGGTATCGATCTTTCCGTACCTTGAAATTCTATTGATCTCATTCGATTCCGAAAGAGAAAAGGGGAAAATGCCGCATATAAAGGGAGCGGGGTAGAGAGTCAAAGACACGAAGAATGCGGTGACAGGCAGCTACTTCAAATGTAACATTGTATCGATCATGCACAAAATCTTATCGCGCCGTTATCTAAACAGTATAGTACATGGTTACATTTTTTCCTCTCTACGCCAAATAAAATAAAATAATATAGGGAACAAAAAACTTATATAACACTAACCTAAAAGTCGACCAACTACGTAAAAGGTATGCGCTGCATAATCACGAAACTGGCTTTTGTCTTGAGATTATTGGTTTTGTTTGTCCTTATTGATATCGATTTGTTTTCGTAAAGCGCGCGCTCACTTCAATTACCAAATAATTCTGTGTTCGACGACAGAGGGAAGGACATACTTTTTCAAATAAAACTAACTTGTAACAATTGTACGTGCCGCACCAACGGCGACTTTCGACTGGCCTAGCAAAACGGGAGTTTTTGTTCAGTTTCCTGTGCCAGTCAAATTACCTAAACCAGATAAGTCAAAGGCGAGCAAACGTTTCGACTCCTGTTTATTCTCCCCCGTTTCGAACAATCTGCAATAGATATTCACTAATACTAGTTTAACGACTTGTTATGCTGCATATATTTTCATGTTTAAAAACTAACAATTAGCATATCAAATTTTGTACATAATCAAACATTTATATAACAAATTCCTGATAAACGTAAATTTTATTTTTTACTTAATTATTTACAAACTATTTCCACTATCGTCTCAATGGTTCTCTTTTCAAATTCATTATTTATTTGTTCGTGGGTTGTGAAACAGGTTTCATACTCTTTCAATAATTAATTTAATATGAAACCATCGACAATTGTTGTAGGCGATGTAGAGAATAATATTATTTTTCGTACACATTCAAAACAGATTATTTATTTTACGTAAATAGAATTTCATACAATGTTTTCTTATAATGTTTAATTTTTTTCATATCTCTATGTTAACGATAAACACATTTTTGTTTTATTTACTAATCAAAACGTGCACAATATTTTTTGTTAATTATTACGTAGTATTTAAATAAACAGATCAAAAAATAGAAATAAAATACTCTAAAAATTTGATTAATACTTTAAACAAATTTGATATAAGTCGGAGTAAAGCCGATATATTACGGTTCAGCATCTGGCAACTAAATATAACCTGAATTTGTAAATGTGCTCATGAAGACAAAAAAAGAATCTGAGATTATATCGTATATAATATATATATTATTGGGTGTTAGAAAATTTGTAACATTGAGTTTTTCATGTAAAGAAGTATTAGGAAACGAGAAAATAACGGATCTGTGTTTCCGGTTTGCTGTATCTATCGTCACATATTCCACTATTCAAAATCTGTGCGTACAAGATTTGTGCGAAGCTAATCCATGGCTCGCGTTTATTTCGGGATTGTGAGTGATCGGTGCGCGTCTCAAGTGCGGCAGCTGAGATACGAAAGAGATGATAGAATAATTTTCAATTGGAATGCTAATCTTTTTTCGATTGTAGTAACAATAGTTAATTGGATTCATAATATTATTGATAAGGTTTGCTGCCTCCTGTATTAGAGACACCGATAATATGAGCAATTTACTGCAATGTGCGAGAGAAAATGCGGAATACCCGCCCCGAGGAAACTTTCTCTATGTCTGGGACGCCTATTTTTAAATTCGGGACATGTGATAAAGTTAATGGTTCCGAGAAAAAAAAATTGTTGGTTCGCCATTATCTAGCTATTAATAGTATCGCTTGAAACGTTTGTTTGGGGGTCTGGCAACGGCGGCCGAGTTGCTGGAATCCCGCTAATGGTCACCATTGATTGATAAGCATGAGCCAAGTTCGACTCGACCATTGCGCGATTCCACAAACATATTTTTGTTATGACTAAGATATTATTAATTCTCGTGAAGCGGTGCGGCCTCGTCCTTGATTGTTATAGAAAAAAAAAAAAACTTTAGTTAACAAACACGAGCCATCTGTTTCTGTTTCGCGAACAACCAGCACCTCCACGTTGTAACGTGAATAGACGACGGACAGACCTCCATGTCTGTCTTCCTTCGTGCCTTCGTCACGGACTTGTAACGTTTCGTTTCTTTATTCATTCTCGCAATATCCTTTTCCTCTTCGTTTTTCGCTTATATTCTTTCTTTATCTTTCTACTGTTGTGCGTTTCGCTTCGTTGCATAACTCCGACCGTCGGTAGCCGAGAGAGCTTTTAAAAATACCTCTAATAATCTTGGAAAAGTTTTTTGCTTTGGCCGAATGCCCCGCGATATAAATTTAGATCCCGGTCCCGACGTGCCTGTTACGTGCTGCACTATTGATAAGCTTCCCTCTTTTCTCGACCTCGTATATTTCTTTCTCATTCTACCCCTCGTTCTCTCGATGGTCGTCAATTACGGCACAGGGCATCGACTTGGAATTCTTCGCTAAACTTTGGCACAGGCGCATATCACGCAACTTCCTAAGATGTCGATGCGAAAGTCAAGTGCATTGGATCAGACTGATCGACGTAATTATTAGATGGAACTCGTAGCGGTTTTCTAATTAACAACAAGTTAACAACGGAACTATCGAAACAAGAATAAGCAATTGCAATCCGTGGCGGAAGACGAAGCCAACCAGAAATACTGGCACCGCAGATGGAATGCATACCTCTTCCGTGTAACGGGTTTTGCAAATGCCTTCCAATGACGCTTCGATTTCCCCTATAGGATTCACCCTAATTCCTAGTTAGTTATATCTGACACTCCCAAATCTAGCGAGTTCCTTTCAGTTTCTCTTGCGTTTTTGCTTCTTCTTAGTGTGTAGAATAATCGTTTACCTGAAAAGCGCGCGCACAAAACCGAATACATACAGCAGCAGCAATAGCGATGACGTCGAGCCACTACGATCTAGCTTCAGTTAAATTTGTATAAATCTGGGTCTTGGACCTGATTTGTGCGCCAGACATATGCTCAATAAAAGGAGGAAAACGCGTGAACATTAACGCAGCAGCATGAAAAGGCTCGTAGCATAAGACCCAAAAAGTTCCGAAAGTCGACAAGCAGATCAATAGTGATCTACAGCGCCAATCGCCCTTAATCGATGAATCGATAGAGACAGTGACATTAATTACGACCGCAATTCCTCTTTGGTGTGTCTTCAGATTTGGGTGTATGATATTGAGGTTATTTATAATGCATGCCAGTCAGGAATCTCACAGAGACGTGTGACGTCACACACGCTAATACTATGCCGACAACTGTCGGCGCTCACGACATCCGATCGATTTCTCTCTACCTCACGATTTTAGGTAAATTAAAAAGTTACGGCCATCATTTAAATACATTCAAACCAGATGGTGGCGAGATTGGGATGTGCAATTCGAGAAGATGAGAGTCTCGTAACTCCGAAGAGGAGGCGAATCGTACTACCATAAAAACATTAAATTGATTTTGCATTTTTCTTCTACTTTGGAAAATCTTAAATTGCGTTTACATTCGAAGATGCCCATCCCAGTGAACAACATTAATGATGATAGGTTTGGATAGGAAATAAATAGGTCATGCGAGAAGCAACGTGCTTCGAATGCGGCTTTCGCACTAACTTAGTTGAAGGTAGCAGCAGAAGTTGTACTGGAATCGGTAATAGTAGTAACAGTTGTAATAACTGTAGTAATATAAGTTGTAACTGTAGTAACAGTAGTGACGGTAAGATTGAAATTCAACAAATGTTGGATGTTATTTGAAGGTGGGAGAGACAGAGCAAGTGATTTGCAATGCACCGTAGCAACGGAAGTGATCTTAAGTATCGTTGTCCTAAGGCAATACAGGATCAGATAAGATAAGGCTGAGCAATACAATATAAGACGTTTGCAGTTCGATAGGCACTTACTGTATGCCCTGGTCCAATATCTCCCGGCTGCGGCAGCGGTCGCTCCGAGCCCTTGTCACAGTCCAGCCTGACTAGAAGTTCCGTAGTTACGGTCAAGTTAACATCGGGCGTCCAGTAACTAAAGATAAGCTGGGAAGCTGGGCGCCCTACAACGCACCCAGTCACTAACTAACACGCACTTCAAACGAACTCAAAAAAAAAAACTCTCTCGCCGAGCCGTTCTGCTCAGTGGACATGAGCACAATCCGATGTCGTAAATGGTTGTAAATGTTGGGGAGCAAACCAGAAAGCTTAATCGGCGCTGTTGTCGACTGCCTACCGCCATGCCTTTCATTAGACGCGCGCATACTCGTTGGCGCCACCTGGCGTTCCTCCAGCGCAAACCGTCTCTCTGACCTCTTCTTACTTTGTACCCGGCTACCAGAGACACAGAGAGAAGAAGACGAGGAGTGTAGCTTCACTCCAGGTCGTCGTCCAGGACGCCAAGTGCGCTTTCACCTAACCACGTATTCATGCCATCAATCCATCAGGACCGAACTCAGGAGGCGGATTTAAACACAAAATCCGCCACCGCCGCCGCCCTTTCTCCTACTCGACCTTTGACCTACTTCTTTAGCCGAAAAACGAAACGCGCTCGAGGGGCGGCCCTGGGCCCTCGGAGCTACCGCCCGATAGGGCGCAGGGGGCGGCCCAACGATCGGCTCCCTGCTCAGCCGTTCGGCTCCGCATCCAGATGCCGAGCAGGAGGTCGTCTATCCAAAGGGATGCGCGATTCTCTGCTTTCGCGGTGACCCTGGCTCAGAACCCCGTGGCAACTACGACGACGCTGCCAGAATTTTACATACTATATATCCTGAATCAATTCTATTTCAAGCGGGCCACGCAAGATCAGTATTAATGATTAGTAGGGTTTGCATTGATGTTACCACTCACAGTATCGTAAACCTATACCAGGCAATGCGTGCCAATACGGTAGGATCCTGCCATTTCGGTTGTAAACATAATTATGAAATATAATAAAGTAAAAACTATTTTAATAACATCACAAGTGTTTATTTTTATGATGCATACTCAATTATTGTAGAAAATTAACTTTGAGACAAAATTTTCTACAATAATTGCTTTGTTCACTAAAGTAAACATGAAAACACATCCGTCTGTTTTCATATTCAAAGATGATTTAAACTATTCCACAAATCCCAATACTGTTAGTGCTTATGGTAAACTATTTGTAAAGTGATTAAGTACACTAAGACTACTTTCAAATTAATGGGTCAACTGCGTAACTACATAACGATAGTCACTTAAGCCCCTTCATAATCAGATGTTTTTCCAACATAAACGTCTTAATAATGGGTTTTTCTTAATTATTTTATATGGTCTTCAAAATTAAATATACTATTTTGCATGTAATCTTCAACAAACATCGTGTGTAAAATGTTCTTCATATAATTAGAAGCTTAATGATAATACCGTCATATCACAAAAAAAAAACATGGCGCAAGCTTCAAGGAGTAATTAGTAATGTTTATTGGTTTATGACCATAATATATTCATGTAAAATGTGGCTATTTCGTCTATTGTTTAATGTAGCAATATATAACTTAATCTACTAATATATATTTTTTCTCACTATTTGTCTGTTCTATTCTTCTTATAGCATTCTATTTCAGTTGATAAAATTACTTCTTAATCTTATAATGTCGCGCGTGTATTGCTCACACATCTGGTGACATCATTTATATTTATAGAAAATATATAATAATATTATTATTTAATATTTAAACAAATAATAAATAAAATATCTTTATTTAATAATAATAAAATAAATAACTGTTATAAATGTCTATTGATCATAGGTCTTTCCGTCCTATTTATAAAAATTTCTTTTATTCTTGACAAAAAAATATACTTAGACCAGACTCCGCATGACAAATCATCGGATATGATGTTCATTGTACTATTTTTATTAAATTTCAAGTATAGTGGAACCTCGCTTAACGACTTTAATCCGTTCCAAAATTTCAGGATTTTTACTTGTATAGTGAAATATATTTAAAATACACATAATATATGTACACAAGTTTTAAAAATGATGTAGAAGGCGCGCAATCCGAGACTTCTCTTCTCATCGTCACTCGTCTTACAATTCATTTTTTGCTCGTTAAGCGAGGTTCCACTGTATTGCTATAGAAATGAAGACACAGACAATACAAAAATATTACATTAAGGTCAGGGTTATACAGAAGTTTTCTATGGATATAGACAATTGGATAGAGGCTTTGGGGCTCACGACCGAAGATACTTTCCTACAGTTCTTTAAAATAATTATTATTTGGGATCCCCAACTATCTGTAATCCACAACTGGATACAGGATGATACTAACAGTGATTAAGGAAATTTCTTTGGTCAATTAAAAAAAAACAAATTCCATTCGATAAAATTTCCCAAGGAAACTTAAATTAAAATAAGAAGTTCTTAAAACCTTTATCTGAGAATATTGCTTTGTGCACCGAGACCTAATTTTTATTTTATCAATCAAAAATACATCATAATTGTGTAACTCATTTATTATAGAAAACAAACAAATAATAGTTAATTAAACATCGACATGAAGCCGAAGTCTAAGTAGAGCAATTTCCCATTGTATTTTATTAAGTGCATCGTCTACTATCGATTAAGTTCATAATGATCATAAATGTTTTGTTTCGAATGTGTTATTCAAGTATAGTCGAATAATTAAGCACTAGTCTGCATCCAAATCAAATTGAAGTGCACCATTTCATTTGTATTTCCTATTGTCAATTATTTCGCCTGTAAAAGAAGACTAATACAATCGTAGAACAACGATTAGAGAAAAACAGATACAGCAACTGTCAGTCTATGAATTATTTTGTGTGTGTGTATGTTTGCTTCTTGTTCAATCAGGATATAATATCTGTCATGGGATTCTATTGAAATTTGTCTTCTTGTTTATTGTTGCAATTCAGATAGATGATTACCTGAAATGCTTCAATTATAACGATCCTCGCAGCTGTATTCTCGTTACATATACATAGTAGAGCTTTAAACGAATTTTGGAATCAAGGTAGCAATTGGGTCAGGGGCGAGATCGATAATCAAGTGAAAAGAAGGGAAACTGAGAAATGTGCATAATTTATTGATGGACTTCGGCGGTAGAAATGTTTGCAAACCATGTCTGTGAACAAACATTTCACTCTTTGTTGATGCAAGTTGACGATAGTTTGACGTTAGTAAATGTGCTGAAATTGATCTGATGAAGGCAGACCTCGATGTATTTTTAAATATTCAACCGTGCAATCCGAAGCTATTTACCAAATATCGTCTGATGATTTACTCAATTATTTTCTCCCCTATGGCAGAGTTAGATCAGCATCCCGAAGCGTCTGTGATAATTCGTTCGCATTTAGTAGATAAACTGAAAAAATTCTTGCAAATAAAAATTGTAAGAATAATAGAATGGAATTGATCGAAAAGAAAATCGTCTTTTCCTTTAAGTAAAATTAAAGAGAAATTCCATTATGCATGAGGAAGTATAAAATGATAATTCCACACGTCAAAGAAAGTGATTGCATATGCAAGGCGTTGCCTTTTTACCGTTTGTTACGAAATAAACTTTTTACGCAATTTCGGACAAATACACCTGAAGTGTTTTTTTTATCGCAAGCGAAAAGTAGATTTTGACAAAAGCATGCACCTGTAGTGTATATGCTAGAAGTTTGTTTCCTGTTCTGAACGCGACATTAATAAATAAAAATGCTCACGTCCATTATGAAATTCGGAATGATGTAAATAAAGCCAAGGCGATTTTTTTTTCGTATGCTCATCTATACTTAAACCAACAAGGTTACGTTTCGAATGGAACAGAACAACATAAAAATAATAGGAAGATAAAATTGTAAATGAAATCTCTTGTGAGATTTCAATGGTAAATTCTTCTAAGGACAAATATTAATGGATGTGATTTAATATTCCAAACGACAAGCTACTTTTACACTTACATTCATATTTAGGATTACATTCATATTTCCGGTGCATTACTCATGCGATATGATTTGTAAATCATTTTAATTGTATATTTAAGCCTTATTCTTATCAATTATAGTACTATCGATAAATGTAAATATTTTATAGTAAAATGTGTGTGTGTTTTTTTCATTTCTTAGTCAAGGATGATTTTAGTAAAAATGTCAAGGTCTTTACCGCCTCCAATTCAGTTATTCAGTCATAAATATAGAAAACGTTCATTTTCTAACAATATTTAGCCCTACAAAGTATATTAGATTAGACACCTTCAATATCCTTGGCACATTTAGGCATCATAACACAAGACACACGCCCTGAACTCATCACTTTGACTGTACGTACTATTTTCTCGAATAATCAATTGTAACGGCCTATTTCATGCTTTTCTTCTTCAACTTGCAAAAGCGTAACATTTTGTTGTTTGATTATTTTGTCTCCTGTGATAATACATTGCAGCTAAGGATTTGATTTCTATTCAAAACTATTCGCTGTGGGTTGCGAAATAATGATTTCCGAATGCTAATTCGGTAATTTATATATTTTTTCTTTTCGCTGTTTTGATATACAATTATTCCAAATTATTGAAATAATGCCGATTTTGAACTAGCAGATCACATGCACCACTTGTATACCGATTGAATGATGTACAATTAGTAATTATCGCGTTTATTGTAATCAAATGTACGGTCTATCGATTGGTATTGTTTGCGTTTGGTATAGTATGGTAATCAATCCAAGGTGCCCGTTTGATTGGACGGTGTAGGATTGTCGATGATAGTGGTTTTGTTTTTGTTTAGCATACTTTGAATTGATTGACCTTATGTAATCGTTGAGGGAAGCTAACCAGGGCGGATGAAAAAATTGGAAGATGGTTGGTGGTCGAGGTTTTAAGATAAGAAGATGATAGGGTAGGTTAGTTGTTGTTACCGTTTCCTGCTAATGATGCACCCTGTACATGGGGGCGGCTGTGTTGTTTCGTTGGGCGAGTGTGAGAAATGGGTTCGCTACGGCTTCCGTCCGTCTTGCGATGTACATACAGTAGTTATAAAAATAGTTAGTTCTCGACTATCACACTAGGAAAATTTAGAATTCACTGGTTAATGTTACGCGTACGTTCGGCAGTGTTACTATATAGATCAGCAAACTGGATGAGTGGTCGCGCACTACTAACGAATTGGCTCCCACCAGCCAGTGGAATCGAAGTGCGGATCAGTAGTTCCCGGAGGCGGCTTTTTGGATCATTCCTTCCTAAGGGATGAACCGCTCCTCGCTCGTC